CACAAACAGAGACTGGGGCAAGCTGCCTATGACAGTGTGAAGAATTTCAGTCAGGTGAAACTTAATTACTCAAAACAGCATGACTGTTAGGAAAGAATAAACAGTAAATCTCAGAGTAGAACCAATGTGAGTTCAAAACCACCATTTTCTGCTGTTACCTCAAACAGTTATGTTAAAAATTCAGAGTCCCTGCTTGTTTATCTATAAAATAAGGGTGCCGCCCCCTGGCTCAGGTGGCCAGCACTAGCTCCCTCGTCCTCTACCACCTGTTCTGGCAGAGAACCAAAAAAAAAAGGTACTGGGTATCCAAAGAGAAAGGAGAAGAACTGTGGCATAAAAGAGAGAGAAAAGGGCTCATAAGTATCTCACATTCTGTGGCTCCAGCAGCCCCCAAAGTGGCTTGTCAGGCATTCCCATCAGAGGAGAATTTAGGCAGCACCTGGCGCCTTCGCTACCTCCTCCAAACCAACATGTCCCCTGAGCATCTATTAAATATCTCCAATTGCAAATGCAGCGCCTCACAAATCACACTGTTAAATATTCTCACTATAACTGACTTCATCGTTCCTTGGCCTAAAAAACCTGCCTCTTCATACTTCAACTAGAGGTACCAATTCCATCTTAGGGCTCCAAAGAGCAGCAAATATATTCCTTTACAATAGTTAAAGATACTTAAGTCCCCCATTCAACATCTAGATTTCCCTCCTTTGAGGACACTTTAGGTTTTCAGCATTCCTTTTGACCATTCATTCTTTTTTTTTTAAATTAAGGTATCATTGTTAGACACTCTTATGAAGGTTTCACATAAAAAACATTGTGGTCACTACATTCACCCATGTTATCAAGTCCCCCCCACACGCCATTGCAGTCACTGTCCATCAGCGTAAGATGCCACAGAGTCACTACTTGTCTTCTCTGTGCTACACTGTCTTCCCCGTGATCCCATCATACCATGTGTGCCAATCATGACGCCCCTCATTGCCCTTCTCCCTCGCTTCCCCCACCCCCCCACCCCCCACCCCTCCCCTTCGGTAACCGCTGGTCGCTTCTCGGGGTCTGGGAGTCTGCTGCTGTTTGGTTCCTCCAGTTTTGCTTTGTTGTTATCACAAACGATGACCCTTCATTCTTATACCTACAACTGCTAGTCCAGCTAACAAAGCAGCTGGGGGCACTGGCCCCCCCAACCCCCAGTCAAAAATCTGTGTATAACTTCTGACTCCCCCAAAACTTAACTAAAATTGCCTACTGTTAATTTTATGGTAGTAAATGATAAAATAGACTAGTATCTATTTTATGCATTCATGACACACCTTACTCTTAATTTTTTTGACACTTCTAGGCTACATGGTTTAGCTGTGAGTTTTTTTTTAGTTGTTGCAAATCTCCAAAACATTTTCCAATATATTTATTGGAAAAAAAGTGTGTAAGTGGATACATGCAGTTCAAACCCTTGTTCAAGAGTCAACTGTAAACTCAGAAAAATCTGGATGCATATGAACACATATAAATTTGCCTAAATGAGAAAATACACAAAATCCTTAAACCAACTTTCGAAATGTATGCTGTTTTATTTCAATATTGACCTGCTTTCTTGTACTTCCCTTTATAATGTTTTCATCTTTTTAACAACTTTCTTCAAGTAATGTATATGCTAAAACTCACCTAATTTAATTGTATAATTTGATGAAATTTAGTGAATTTATAGTTTTGCAACCAAAAGCCAGCTGGAATCCTGGTAAGAACTACATTGAATCTATTGATCAGAACTGGGAGAACTTGCTTCTTAACAACACTGAGTGTTCCAATTCATGAACATAACATATTGCCCCATTTATTTAGGCCTTCTTTAATTTCTATCAGCAATGATAAATTATTTTCAGTGTAGTATCTTCTACTTCTTTTGATAATTTATTCCTAAGAATTTTTTTTGATGCTACTGTGAAATGAATTTTTAAATTTACATTTACATTTTTGGACTGTTCATTACTAATATGTAGAAAAAAACTGATACGGCTCTTATGTGCTGTAATTTTACTATTCCCTTTATAACTTTTTGAATAAAATATTTTTCATTACAACATTAAGTGTTAAACATCAGGCCCTGAATGACTGTACTTCCCTTTCATACAAAAGCTATACTGACAAGAAGACAAACATTTCAACCCACTTTTTAGAAACTACCTGCTTTAGAACAATAACCCATAGTAAATCACTAATAAACACGGTCATATATTCCACTATTTATGCTGTAAAAAGGTTTAAATTACCAATTAGTAAACTTAAACTTATTTCCTATTTTGTGCTAGTAAGAAGAACGTCTGTCTGCCGCCTCCTCCTAAAATCCCTTGGCAGGAGTGTGCTTAGGCCAAATACAGTCTACCACCTGTTTTTGTAAATAAAGTCTGACAGAAGCACAGGCATGCTTATTTTGCCCACATAATATCAATGGCCATTTCTGAATCACAACAGAGATACTGGCTATGACAGAAGCTGCATGTGTTGCAAAGTCTAGAATATTTGCTATCTAGTCCTGTACAGATAGTCTGTCAAACCCTGCTCTTGCGATGCTGGGCAAATCTGGTATAAGTTAAATGCTCCCTATGTTAATTAAGGATAATTAGTATCCTAAAATACAGGACATTCTATCCCTCCATGCCCTTTTTTTCTGTATCACCTAAGGTTTTCAATTTTCTTCCTCAAAAATTTCAAAGCTTATATGACTAGAAAAAGCACTGAATTTTAAAATGGATTAAGTTTTAAAGGTAAATTACCTGTATATGGATCAGAATAAAATCACATATATATGTTAAAGGAAACCACAAAAAAGCTTACATTGTATTAAAATGTTTTAACTTACTCATGCATTTGTTACAGAAAGTGAAACAACTACACTGAGAACATCTTAAAAAGTACATAAAACAGATTCAAGAGTTTTTAAATTGTTAAGTACTAAAGGAAGTCTAAATCCTTCATTTTAAATACTTTTTGGCTGTTCAAAGAAATATGTTACATATGCCATAGCTTTACAGACTGAAGGTAATAAAGAGAACTGCACTCTATGCAACCAGTAACTTTGGACAGCATGTAGGCATGATGCAGGGCCCATCTAGGTAGGATAGTTAAGTGAAATTCTTAAGCTCTAACCCATCAAACATTTTAAATTAACCTAAGGGCCTAAGTTTTAAGAGAAAGCATAAATGGACTACAAGAAAAAAAAGTAAACAGGAAAACATATATGGTTATAAACTAAAATTAAAAGGAGCTAAAATAAATTAAAATACAGATTTTTCAAATTAATTCCCTATCTCCTCTTTATTGCCAGCCCTAGCAACCAATATGGCAAAATTTACTCACTCTAATATGCTCATCAATAGTGTCAAATGCCAACACTGAAATCCTATTCTGTCAGCAGCATATGTATATAGGCAAGTGGCACTTTTTTCTTAAATACTTACTGTGTGAGAGTGACATAACTAATTTTATCAGCTGTAGGTCTCTAAAGCTGCAGTACCCAATAGAATGTGCTACACTGTGGCTAGTACAACTGAATTTTAAATTTTAATTAATTTAAATGCACAAAGGCACATGTGGCTAATGGCTGAGGTGCAAAAGTAAACCTTACAGACAGCCGTTGTCCCTCAGGAAAAAAAACAATTTCCTTTGACTAGATATATAAATTTGCTAACCTTCCAGTTTAAAAGCATGATACAAAGTAGCTTATGTATTAATAGAGAAGTCCTAATCTAATCAGGTTTTCCTTCTATTATGCAGATTAAAAACATACAACTCTTTTTAAAAATCAGATCTCACTTTGAACCTCTCATTTGTATGAGATTTTAAAAATAAGACCATAGTGGTACAAACACTGCTTCACCTGAAACACCATCAAAATACTTTCCTCCCCTTATAAAAATTAAAATCAAACACCAACAACTTGTAAGGGTTGGTTTCCAGAAGGCAGAGAAAGCCAAGGCAGGTGATGTCAGTGGAAACCAAGTGGAAGCACATCAAAACGGGCTGACCAGCAATTTAAACGCCAATGATGCAGAGTAGAGTGAGATTTAGAAAAAAGCTGATCAATCAGCTATGGCTCTATGTTTCCTCATGCAAAACTCTTCGAGCCACATGTACTTCAGAATTCAAAAACACGGTGCATATGCCACCACAGGTATTATGGAACAGCCCCAGCAGGGCCTGCCCCTGGAGGGGTCAACCATATATGTTTTACACACGTATGCTCCCATATTTAAATCTCTGGCCCACACCTCTACACCCAGCTACCAGCTCCTAGTGTGTGTCTCACAGATACCTTAGAGTTGGCATAAACTAATTCAGCCAATATTCACTGAGTGTTTACTTCCTACGAAGCACTGTTACAGGCACCGAATATATACCAGCTAGAACTGCTTATTCCCTAAACACAGTCCGCACCTCAGAAAAGAGTATGTCCATATTCCCTATTGATCAAGCCAGGGACCAGTCATCTGTGACACCTTTTACCTTTCTTCCTCCTGCACTTCCCATCAATCACCAAGTCCTTCCTAGTTAACTTCTAAATCCCTCTTCAGCCTTTTCACCTCACTCCCTCTCTCCACTGCCATCACCCTAAGACTAAGCAGGGGGCTCCTCACAGAAGGCAGTTTTGCCTGCCATGGGACATCTGAAAGTATCTGGAGACATTCATGGTTGTCACAAGTTGGGGGAGGTGCTACTGACATCTAGTGTGTAGGGCCAGGGATGCTGCTAAATACCTTACAGAACACAGGACAGTCACATACATCAAAGAATCATCCGGCCTAAAATGTCAACAGTCCTGAGGCTGAGAAATCCTGCTTCAAGTAACCAGAGTGGTGGATATCAATGATTTAATTTTTGTATTTGTGACAGTTCTTGAGAAAAATCATCACAATTTAGAATAACTTCTAGCATAATAAAATTCTATTTTGACCTAATTCTACTACAGTGATTCATAGTTATATGTGAATAAAGTGGACACTTACCTGTGCATGCTCTCCACTCCTATTATGATCATGATACAGTAGGAAATTCCACTTTGTACAAGAAAATGTAAGGCATACCTATAAAAAGTAAGAGCGTTGTTAGAAGAGGGATACCCACTCACATACATCAAGTTGAAACAACTTAGGCTAAAAAGTGTTTCTGTATAACACGAGGCATTCCCAGATAATAAAGAACACTCAAACCTCCAAAGCTCAAAATTCGGTGAATACCCAATACCCTGGAGAGGGAACCCCAACAGCAGGCCCCAACGCAGTGGGAAACACCGCATGAAACCCCTAAGCCACATTCAGCACCCCAGCACTCTGTCTCCTGGCGACAGGAAAGCACAGTGTGGGTATGTGGCTCAAGGATGACAGCTTTTTCTGTAACTCAAGGCACAATGATGAAAGGGAGCAATAAATCTGGATTCAGAATAGTCTGACAAAGCACCAGTTACTTGCTCACCCAAATGGACCTCTCCAAAAGCACTTTTGTACTTTTCAGTTTATCTTTTCACCAAAAACAACCAAAAGTACTGAATATTAGAATTTACTAAAAAGCAGATACACCCAAATCTATTTACTCTGAAAACATGATGGCTCAAGCAAAGTAAGTTTCCCAGTCAATCTTTCATTTGCAGTAATTGATCTACAAAACATTCTGGCTGAGATGACACAGTATTTTCTAATGTTCCAATGCAGAAATCTATCATTAAATGACAGAACTAATTTATCTACTTATTTTACAAAATCCAGGCAAAATGTGATTAGGACTTCTGGTTTGAATATCAATTAAACTATCCCTAAGATTATGTATACACATCCACACACACAAACTTTCAATTTTCTTTCTCCTTTGATGGCATGAATAATCTGTGAAAATAATTTCAAATCGTTATACACAATTTAAAACATTAGTAAGGATCTTAACCTATGATTAAAACTACTTTTTAACCTAATCATTATGGAATAGCAGGTACCTTCAATTTGAAAAAGCTACTTAAATTTCTGAACAAATTTTTCCATAGAAATACTATAAACAGGAAGGAAGCAGGCTCCGAGGCAGGCCCAGTGAAGGAACTTATTTTACCCACTATACAGAGTATGTTGGTCAGTCTGTCTGTCTGTCTGTCTCTCCCTCCATCTAACATACCCACACACCCACACACATACAAAAACAATGTTGGCTTGGAGTATTATTATAACCAGAGGGCTGTGAGGAAGCAGAAAAACTTATGTGAGTATAAATGGAAACAGAAGGAAGCTTAAAAAAAAAGATCAGAATGAACACCCTTCAAATGAATTACCTGCCTCCTATTTGTTGCCAGCACTAACAATTCACTAACAGACTTGATGCGAAGACACTGACAAGGGCTGATAAATACTTTCAAGGGCTTACTAATTGAGAGAACTCATTAAAGATACTTGTCTTCGAAAAATTTCGAAGGATTCTCTGTAAATATTTTTCCTTCTCTATGAGTAAATTTCCTTGGAACATGAGGAATATGACAACTTCAGAAGCCAAGAGTTTATTTCTCAAAGCACCTTATATCACAGACACCCACTGCTCCGGCATCACTGTTCAGAGGATATGCTTGGCAGTCTTTGGGGTACAACATAACACTCTGCTGGACTCCCACTTGTACAAGCCTGTCACTGTGACAATGTAAGTTTATCCATAGAGAAGGAATCTGCCTTCACCTCTGTTTTGTTGATCTCTGTGACAAGCATCAGATTGTCTTTCTACTCACTTACTGTGCTGGCCATTTTCTACCTAGTTTCCCATCTGCAGCTATACCACTTGACCACCTTAGTGAAAGGAGCATAATAAATACACAGTAGCCACTAATTTTTCGGGATGAAGAAATAATGCATAAAACTAGGTTATATGACACAGAGTAAGCATTCAACTACTAAGTATTATTAGTAAAGCAAAAATTCAAAGTAGACAGTACCTTAAGACTATTATAATCTAACCATTACCACTTCAGAGTTAAGGAAGCTAAGTCCTGAAGTCATATACCTACCTCATATCCTAACTCACATTAAAACTCAAGCTGTTTATTTTGGGCAACTCATCCATTGGCTTATCCTCCAAGGCATGGGACAGAATGCAACCCTGGGGCTGGGCATCCGAATCCTACCAGCAGCCCAAGCACTTTGAAAACAAAGCAATCCATTATCCCAAAGTTCAGTTTTTTTTTAGGTATCACATTATACTTGTTTTGAATTTCAAATCACACTAACAGCAAGTATAAAACATATTCTTAGCCCTAAGAACAAAATTCCTGGACCAGATGGTTTCACAGCTGAATTTTATCAAACATTTAGTGAAGATGTAATATCCATCCTCCTTAAAGTTTTCCAAAAAATAGAAGAGGAGGGAATACTCCCAAACTCATTCTATGAGGCCAGCATCACTTTAATACCAAAACCAAGGCAAAGACACCACAAAAAAGATTACAGACCAATATCCCTGATGAACATAGATGCAAAAATACTCAACAAAATATTAGCAAACCGAATTCAAAAATATATAAAAAAGATCATCCATTATGATC